AAGAATACCTAAGGGTTATATTTTGCACGAATTTTATATTAATTTCCTCCCTATTTTAATGCCTTAATGATGAAGGACTATGGAGGAGACAAGTGTACGGTTTGATGGGAAAAGAAGGTATTACGTGTACGGTCGGATGCAAGACATGTGTACGGTTGGATTTGTAGATTGATGATGTAAGCATGATGTCATCATGATGAGGTAAGTATGATGTCATAGGACACTTGTCACCATAAGATTAAAAGAGAAAATGAACGGTCCAAATCAAGCCACATATTTTTAAGATCAATGGCCCAGATTCAGTCTTGTTTTCTATAAATACCCCTTCCCTCCCTCTCATTTCGTCCTCAGCCATGGAAACCTTGGAGAAGCTTTGGAAAAATGGTTTCTAGAGAGAGAAAGAAGAGGGAGAAAGAAAGGCCAAGTGGTCTCATGCAAGATCAAGCTTTGAAACAAGGTATGTTCATGGTTTTTGATGTAGTTTTCACTACTCTTATTGTTGTTGAGCTTGGTTATGGATTTTAATGATTTTTGAGAGCTTGAAACCCTTAGGTGAGGTGCTGTACAAAATTGTTAAGTGTGAGGGAGGATGAAATTGACGTTAGAATAATGTTTAAAGGCTTGAAAGGAATACAAATCAAGGGGTTTGTGCTGAAATTAGTTGAATTTCATGATTGTGTAACTTGAGAAAATATTTTAGCCAGACCTGGTTCTTGTGCCTAAGATGTGATTTTGATGATTTTAATGCTTCCAATGTGTTTAAAATGAAAAATTGTGTAGGGATAAGATGAGAGAATGAAGTTGGAAGCATTTGAATCAAAACTGGAAATTAAGTGGTAGATTTTGGTTTTGGCCTAGAACTAGGGGAAGGAGTTGGATTTCAATGAATCTAAGTTCATATTTTGATTCCTTGGGAAAAATTGTGTAGGATTGGCCTAAGGGAACAATTTTTACAAAGTTAGAACACTACATTATAAATTAAGGAAAAAGGGATTAAGTTTAAGGACATAAGTTTTCCATATTCTGTAATTCTTGGTCCTAATGAGTAATTAGGACCTTGAGGCATCTGAGAGAAGGTTTAGATGTGGTTGAGCAAGCAACTTTAATGGTTGGGAACAAAAAAGGAGTAAGAAGAAAGCTTAAGGACACAAGGTAGCAAACTTGACCTTACTCTTTTGTGCTTGGTATTTGCTTGCATGTATGACATGTTTCTATGTTACATGATTTTATGAACCCATGTGTTGTGATTGTAAATGTGTTTGAAATATGCCATAAGCCTATGTGTTTTATGATAAATGCATGATAATTTCTAAACATGTCATTATGTTATAAAGATGTTAACTTGCTTGTATATTATAAATGTCAAGCTTGCTATGTATGTTTGGGTGGTTATTGTTTGCTACTGAAATTCTCCCGAATCTCACCCCTCTCTAACCCACCATTTAGGTCAAGTATGATGGACAATGATTGCATGAAGGAGAGCATGAGAAGGAAGGAGAAAAAAGTGAAAAATTATTCATGTTAATGATTGAAGCTATTGGTTAATGTATAATTCTCCTATTATGTAAATTATATATATGAATGCCAATATGTAATGTATTTGTTTAGAATGTTTATGGCATGAATGAAAAGGTATAAGAATGAATGGTAAAGGATAGGGCCAAGTTATGTATGCCAAAACAATAAAAAAGATTAAAGTAAGAATTGTTTAATGAATAAAACGTAGGTACTGGAGCAGTCAATGTCCAACTCCAGTTTGACCTATCAAATGAAAGAGTTAAGTCATGACGTTTGGCAAACATATTGTACACATCTCAAGCTTTAAAATGATAGGTAGAACACCTCAATTGGATGTGTACACAAGGAGATACGAATTTCCAAAATTGAGGCCCGGAATCTGAAAGTTCCAGATTTTACCAAATGAATAGTAACCCAAGTAATTATGTTGAAATTTTAAATCCACAGGCTTGTGTCGTGAATCACTTGAACCATAACGCTTCCAAATGCGTACTCTAAGGGGTTAAGGGCAGGATGTTTCATGAGAGAGCTACTAGAGTGATTTTGCCCCCATCCTTGAGAAAGCTCAGAAATGTCTCTCTCGGTGGAAATGTCAAACTTTAAGCCTTGTAGGAAGAGCCACATTGATTAAGGTTGTTTTATCAGCCTTGCCTTCTTATTTTATGCAGACGATTCTCCTTCCTAAAGGAATCCTCAAAGAACTTAATAAGAAAAGCAAACAATTCCTTTGGGGCGACACTGGGGATAGCAAGAAAGTACACCTCTTAGCTTGGGAAAAGATTACAATGGATAGGAAAAAAGGAGGCTTGGGCATAAAGAATTTAAGACAACAGAATGAAGCTATGTTGGAATCTCCTACTTAGGCACGACACACTTTAGGTCCAGGTGCTAAGAGCTAAATACAAATGTGGGGATTCTGATCTGCTGGATATTAAGAAAAAGACTTGTTCTTCTCTCACTTGGAGAGGCATTTGTGAAGTGTGGAATAAGTTCAAATTGGGGTTCAGAAGAAAGTTGGGTAATGGCCGATCTGCTTCTTTTCGGTTCGAGAAATGGTTAGAACTAGAGGCTCCCCTCATTGACTGCATACCAGGAAGAGAACATTTGATAGATTATAATGAGAAAGTGTGTGATTATATTAATGGAATGGGAGAGTGGAATATTCTTATGCTTGCTTCCTGGTTTCCTACTCACATTGTTGATCGGATAAGTTGTGTGCACCCCCTAGAGAGGAGAGAGGAGAGGACAAGTTTATTTGGAATCCCATCTAGTGATGGTTTCTTCTCTGTATATTCCGCATAAAATTTTCTTCTTGCAGTTACAGGTAACAGAGAGGAAAGCGTGTGGAAGAGGATATGGTAATGCGTGGTTCCAGAAAAAATGAAGGCACTCCTTTGGCTTCTAGCTCATGACCGAGTGCACACCACGCAGCTAAGAGCTAGTAGGGGAATCACCAACACTTCATAGTGCTCATTTGAATACAACCAAGAGGAAGATGCAATGCACATGATCAGGGACTGTCTCAATGCTAGGGAGCGATGGACGATGGCTGTTGATTAGACTAAGTGGGGTAGGTTCTTCACACTGTAGGGGAAGGATTGGATCCTTTAGAACTTAGAACATGACTTGGGAGCTACTCATACTAAGACAGTGCAGCCGTCCACTTTGTTTGGATACATATGCTGGGATGTTTGGGTCTCCAGGTGTAAATTACTGTTTGAGGGAGGGGTACCTGGTCATCATGGGAATGCAAACAACCCTTTGTTTTGTGCTTCTTGGGATCAAGAGATAATCAAAACAACAATCTTTCATACTGAGACTCAGAGCGACACCAATAGACAGGTACAGCTGGACAATGATGTGGTAAAGGTAGAGGTGGACAGTTCAGTTTGAGAAGATGGCAGTAGCAGCTGTGGTGGGGTAATAACTGATAGGTCTCACCATTAGATATGTGGCTTCAGCAGAAAACTTGTCTCAGTGCCTCCGACTATTGCAGAAATAATGGGCATTGTCAATGGAATGCATCTTTGCTAGGAAAAGGGTTTCAGGAAAATCACGGTGTTCACTGACTATTTAAGGGCCATTAACTTACTGATTCAGGGTTGTAATTATGACCACCCTTTTAGAGACATCATTGAGGATGCTAGACTGTTTCTCCTTAGGGACTGGCAAGTTAACTTTCACTTTGTAAACAAGGATTGTAATTTAATTGCTGAATCTTTAGCTAGTTTAGCTCATACGATTCTAGGAAATTTTTGTATCTTTGATCAACCACCTCCTTTTATTCAAGAGGCTGTGGGTGAGGAGAGAACTTAGGTAGGGGTGTCTTTTTGACTGGTTTAGGTTCTGTTGTTCCTTGTATATTTCTGTCGGTTAATATTTAGTATCCAGTTTTATCTCAAAAAACAAAAAACAAAAAAACAAAGAACTCTATGAAACCCTTTTCCTTCATTCGAGGAGTTCCCGAAACACAGGAAAGGGCAGGCTCCTGGGTTATTTTTTCTGCTATGCATTAAGATATGGGCTAAAGAAGATGGCTTGTTATTTTTTCAGAATAGGAGAAACAATTTTGGGCCTAGATGTTTGGTTTCTTTTTCCACCTCCACTTATTTGAACATTTGGGACTTGCTATTGACTAGGCCCATTAGGGCTTCTCCTAGGTTTATTGTTGTCTTGCTTTGCACTCACTTTCTTTCTTGTTTTTTTGTCTCTTTTTTCTCTTGCTACCCCTCTGTTTGCTCTGCTTTTGACCCGCTTTACTACTTTCTCCAAATTCGAGAACGCTGTCCTACAAGAAAGGATTGTGCTTTCTGCGTTACTCGTTCTCTTATTGTTGTCATGTTCCCTAAGTTTGTCAAAATATATTATAAACAAAATATTATAATTAGGATGAGAAATAGTATTTGTTTCTTTAAATTAATTTTAAAAAATAGTTAAAATTAATTAAAAATAGTACAATTAAATCTATTTTTAAATAAGAAAAAAATACTAATAATAAGATAAATGATAAAAAAAAAGAAATATAAAAAAGACCGGAGAGATTAGAAAATTTATTAACAATAAAATTAATAAAAACGTATTTAATGTTAAGGCAATCTAATTGGATGTTATTAAAAAAGTCCAATCAATTTAAATTTTGGAATCTTAAAAATAAGAGCGGAGGGAGTAATTAATTATTGAACATTTTTTTATGGTTATTATCAAATAACTTTAATCTCCCTCCGCTCCCAATTCACCTCAGCTTCTAATTCGTTGGAGAACGACGCGTAAATCACGGCCAAAAGCATGCTCTTAGCCAATAGAAACTAAGGACAGGGGTTGCGTTCGTCTAAGATTTAAAGATTGTGATCTAATGGTCATTAATTAGCCAAGTAATTTAAAGCGTAAAGGTTTACCCAATGCTGAAATTAAGTTGAATCGGGTGATCATGTACGAGATCTATCGTTTTGGGTTGCCTTTGATTAAAGTGCTGGCTAGTTGCAATGGCCGATTCGGACTCTATGGAAATAACTTTAGATGTGGCCACCGAAGCGAACCCCAGTGAAAATATGGGAGATAATTCGGAGCAGGAGGAACAGAACATGAGCAGAGTAACAAAGCGGCAGTCCAGTGCATTTAGCGGCAAAGTGATGAGTCAGCTGATAGAAATGCAGTGTCGCGATGATATGGCATTTCTTCATAGCAAAAAGATGCGTAATCTGATCAAAATGCTGGAAAGTTCATCAGCTGATGATTATCAATTTCGTGGCAACGAAAAGATGCATGAACTGATGGAAAAGCAGTTCTTTTCATCGGCTGATGATATGCCATTTTTTGAAATAGGGTACATATTATGTGTTATAAGTTGTACGAGGCGGTTTCTGATAAAAACGCAGATGTTGATAGATTTGTTTATGTACTGGAGCAAGTTTGTGCAGAAAATAAAGTTGATGTGGCCTCCATTTTCAACCATGTCACTCCCACAGGTGATTCGTTGCTTCATGTTGCAGCCCAACATGGGAGTGAACAGGTTTTATGTCTTATTGCTTTTCACTATCCTAAGCTTTTGTACCAGACAAATATGAAAGGTGATACTCCACTTCATGTTGCTGCCAGAGCTAAGAATCTTCTCGCGATTAAGAACATTCTCGACTTGGATAAACATTTCATGACATCTGAGGAGGTGGAATCTATAGATAAAATGCAGTTTATTATGTTACGCAACAAGTATGGGAGGACAGCTTTGCACGAAGCTGTTTTGAATAAGGATTATTCTATGGTTCTGTTCCTTTTAGTTGCACACAAGCGAAGTGACCTGGCCACCTATTGGACTTGGAACTATTATTATGGTTGTAAATCACCAATGTATTTAGCAGTTCTGGTAAGGGCTGATGATATTCTTTATCTTCTCTTGAGGTTAATTCCAATCCCCTCGGGCAAGCCTATTTCAAATGGCGACTCTCCTCTACATGCTGCTTTATCAGAACGAAATAAGGGTGAGTATATTCCTGAAATAAGTAATTTCGTGTTTGTTTCACTTTTCCCTAATATGTGTTTGTTTGTTTTGTTTTGTTTTGCGTGAAGACCTATTGAAGATGATCGTTGATACAGAGAAAGAGCTATTGTATCAAAGAGGTGAGAACAACAACACTCCCCTTTATTATGCAGCATACGCTGGTTACATGGAAGGAGTTTGTATAATGTTAGAAACATCTTCCATGATTGCTTTTCAACGAAACTCAAATGGCAATCTTCCAATTCATCTCGCCTGTGAAAAGGGCAATGTTAAAGTGGTCAAAAAGTTGCTTGAAATGGATTGGTCCAATGCTGGAGTTTTCTTGAATAAGGAAGGTCAGAACATCCTTCACATTGCAGCAATGAAGGGAAAAATTACCATGATAAGACATCTTGGAGCACCCCAACATTCATCATGACATGATCAATGAGAGAGATGTAAATGGAGATACTCCCTTACATTTGGCTTCAAGAGAACTTCATCTTTGGACTCTACGCCATCTGTCACAAGTCAAAATGATCGATGTTAATATTGTGAATAACAAAGGTTTCACAGCTCGAGATGTTGTTCGGATGAAGAGTAAGCATCCAACGACACGTAGTAGAGAGGTATGATTGACAAATGGCAAGTATTTATTAACTATATATTCATTATTATTCCATTTGAAGAGTTTTCTTTAATTCTAGAATCTTTTTTTTTTATAATAAAATATAGCAAGTAGAGTATCCTTTTTTCATTTGATTACCTTGCAGTACCTAGCAAATGCAATTTTAGATTGTGCTGATGTGGGCCTGAAGGCAAATATGCTGGGCGTGCCGCACAATACATACACCAACGAGTGGAATGTGAAGGATGCAGCCAATTCACTCGCACTTATGGCCGTACTAATAGCCACAGTGACATTTACGGCTGGTTTCACGGTACCGGGTGGGTTCTACTCATCAGATGGCCCGATCACAAAGCAAAGAGGCTTAGCACTTTTGGCTGATCAAACACTATTCAGGATATTCATGGTTTTTAACACTATTGCTATGTATAGCTCCACCATTGGTTCTGTCATTCTTCTATGGGTCCCACTTGGAGATTTTCGTTTTGCAAGAATAGCATATGAACATGCCAAGTTCTTTGTTGATGTGGCCCTTGTAGCAATGCCCATTGCGTTTCTAGCAGCTATACGCTTGATTGTGAGCAATAACACTTTGCTTGCAGTTGTCACAAGTGTCATTGGATTCATCTCCATTTTCTTCATCATATTTATTCGTATGTTAGGATTGTTGTCACTTAGAATTCGTGATCCCAAATTTCGTCCTATTTCAGGCTTAGTTATTAGGATCATTATTGTTATATTATAAGGATGGTAGTTTCGGTTAGCCGTTTTGCCGGCAGAGTCACCCGAGTCAACCAAGATGCATGATGCAAGAAATCAAATCAAGTAGTGAAGCATTTGCAAATTGATATCGATTGAGGTTGCAGCCAATACTTTCTCAGATCCAGTTACAAATGTTCATCGTCACTGTTGCCCGTGCTTTTTAGTTTCGTTATGTTCATGTAAAATTATGTGATTCTTGCATGTGATGTATGTGTTATATGTCAGTTCAAGTAATTATGTGTATGAATAAACATATCCTGTTTTAACATTTGGAAGCAAGTTGGAGAATAAAGTACTGTTATTTCCTCTTTTCAATAAAATATTCTGCTTTTCAATTAAGTGGTAATAAAAATTAATGGGAAGAACACAAAGGGAAGAAACAATCGAGAGAAAACAGACACGAAAAATAATTTTCTCTTCGGTTAATCACATACGTTATGGTGATAACAAAACTAGATTAAAAAAAATCATTTTGCGAGGTTTATGACAAATTATGTAATAAAAACGATGAAGTTCAAATGATAGAAGAGAAAATTACAGGATCTATAATTTTTTCTTACAGAATCAAACTTTTTACAAAGATTGTTTTACATGATTTATTAGTCTGCTTATTATTGCACGTTTTCATTTTTTTTAATAAATACTTGCTCCTGTATATTTGCTCAAAATTTTATTGAATTAGATTCAAATAAAGAGGCTTTTTTAAAAAGATTCAAATAAAGAGAATCAGATTTGTTACTGGTAATAATAGTAATAACAGACAAGCACAATAAGAAAGTTAATGGCTAGTTGTCCTGGTGACAACACCATTCACCATGCTTAAATGAGATCCCAAATTCAAGTTTGATATTGACATATTTGTATGTGTGTCTCTGTTTAATTATATTAAATAATTAAAACAAAAAAGAGAGAACACTTAGAAAGTTTTGGCTGGAATTCTAGTTTGTTTTATTCATGTCTACAGTGTTCAGCCTTGATCCAAGTATAAAGCAAAACAAATGAGTTGGGATCATCATATCTATCAAATTTAATGGTCAATAGAAAAATCCATAAAATTCAATGGAAAACTTGGTTCACAACATAATCAAAATGAAGTGCAAATGGAATCATGACAATCATCCATCTACAAAAGGAAAAACAGAAATAGGACGGAAAATAAAAATATTGTACTCTTATAATCATGAATTTCAGCACCGACTGTACACAGCTTAATGTCCAAGATCTGGGGTTGGTATAAATCTCACGTATTCTACACATGATTAATCCAGAAATTCAGTTCAGGGGCTCACATTTGAAGGAAAAGCCTGTGCATTAAACTTCACAGATACTTACAAACATAAAATAGTGGATTGTATGCATATTTCATCTTTACTCAAAATGCAGAAACTCAAATGGATTAAACTCCTTTTTGAGTAACTTTATTCAAAAGAGAGAATGCTAGGATGATGTTTTTCATTTCTAAGTTTGGTTCATTCAAAGAAAAATGGAAATTGGATTAGGACAAACAGAATTTGATGTAGTGATTTGCGACAGAACCAGGTTACTTATAGCATTGGCAGGGAAGAGCTCAGAGTGAATCAAACATTTGTTTATACCTTTAATTATGCACCCACAAGGGATCCAGAGAGACAGGTTTCTCAGTTCTTGTCCCAGAAGTCCTAGATGGAGGTGCGTGCACTGTAATCGGAAGAACCCATTCACATTTTTCTCTCCCCTCGATCAGAAGAGGATGTTCATACCTGAGGTTCAGAAACCATATGGCTTAAAATACAATCAATGGCTAATTCAAAAGTTCAAAGTGCTTTAAAACTAAGAATGCTATTAAACCCTCTTATTTCATTCCATGAGATATCGAAACAGATGAAAGGGCAGGCTTCTGTGTTTTCCTGGCCATGCATCATGATATCAATATATATAATCATATGTTATCTATCATCACACATTTAATTGTTGAGGGCTTAAGGGCAGCCTTCTATATTGTGCCAACAAACGCTTGTTGTCAACTGCCATAGATAGCTGGCCAATTCTGCAGTTGCAGTGTTAACATTTTTGTTTGACACAGTCAAACCAAGTAAAATTGTGACAGTAAGAACTTGGGTGTTTCTCAGTATTTTTATGGGGTTCATAACTATTTTTCTCCATTCATTCAGCCAGCCCTTTGTCACAACACCCACCATATACCACCCCCTCCCAAAAAAAAAAAAAAAAAAAACTGACTTTCTTAATTTCATCCCTTGTTATTCCTTTCCATCTTTCTGATTATGTCCTCCCTTCCGTAGGCAGCAACTCCAACCATTGTTCTGTATTTTTGTTCTCTCTCAGATCAAGTCTTGTTTTCCCATCATTATTATCCTTCTTTTCTCTTTGAACAATTTATGTAGGACAGAATCACAGAGACTTGATAACTTTCTATACTCCTTGCATGTGGATTGTGCTATTTTATTATTTGTGAATTTGTTATGAACATGAAAAAGTGAGAAATACCTCATATCGTCTATATATACATATATATATATATAGAAAATGGTTGAGTTAAATCGTTGGGTGTGGGACATGTCTTTTCATTGTTTCCAATGAATATTGCACTGACAAAGTTGGCATGCGCTGGCACCAGAAACCCTTATCACAAGGGTGCCGGGCATGCTGCCAACTACAATTTAATACGTGAAGGCTCAACATTACATAAAGATGTGAAAATTGATGGTTCAACATCACATGAACACAATGCCTAGACTGATTGATAAAATGGATCCAGCCGTAGAGACAAGTGCACGTAAAAACCAGATGCATAAAGGAATGGAAAAAAAAAAAGAGGCAAGGTCGAAATTCATACTTGGTCCAATCCAAATTCTTTGGAGTGGCATAAAATTCAAATCTAAGAACCCATTGCACTGACACACGAGGAGTGGAGAACGACATTGGACCATCCATGGGGATAGAGAAAAGAAAACTTGTCTGCACCAGATCTGCAACAACTTCATAATGGTCACTCTGGACCTAAGAAAAACAGGTGAGAACAAATGTATGTATCAGAAGCCAACATCATTAGCATATGCACATAGAAAGAACTTAATGGTGATATCGTGAGTCAGCTGTCATCTTCAATTTTTCACAGAGACTTGACATAGGACACTAAATGAAATTTCATTTTTAAGGGGGAAAAATGCAAGGAAACCCCGGGGGGGGGGGGGGGGTACTACTAGTTTAACGTTTCTATTGCAAAGGCAACAAAGACACTAGATGAACTTTCACCACGATGTGGGGAAAAGCGGGAAACCCCCTACTAAATGAACGAACCTTTCAGCTAAGGCAACATGAAGAGGCTTCAAAACTAACCAAAAAAAAAAAAAAAAAAGGAAAAGTGCTATCTACAAAATCTAACATTCCTCCAAGAAAATAATGAAATCCTCAAGACTATTGCGTACTTCAACACTACAGAAAAGAAGCGGCATCAAGCATGAGAAATTAAAAATGTGCAGTTCATCAACTAAAAAAGCTATTAGAACTCCATATGCCAACAAATAAATACCTTTGTGATTGTGGGGGAATGCTTTCTAGAAGGGTGGACAAATCTCCGATTTATAGTTTCTGAAGTTTCCAGTGTTATTGAGACCTGCATAAGCATATAGAATAGTGTTTGAAAAACCTCAAGCATCAGCCACAACATAGTCAGAGCGTAAAGCTCCACAGTTTGCAGACAAACCTCAAGGCATCTCCGAGCTCTCTCTTCATGAAAGAAAGTTAGAGTCCCACCTATCTGTAACATGAAATTGTCCATGATTGGTTATTATAACGTTTGCTTCAACAAAATTGATATAAATCATACATGATTTTTATTACCATATCACTGAAGTAATAATTGGAGTCGGAATTTTTTGGGGAAAATTTAAGCAGAACTTGGTCGTCCAGCCTGATGTTATATGACCTTCCTCTAATGAAGCCTTCTGCTGCAGAAAATGTTTGCAAAAAATTAGGTAACCAGATAGTTTTTCCATCTCGAAGCAGAAGGCTTACATTTTATAACAGGGATAATCTATTTTTAAGATGTAAAAGTATTCTGACATGCATATTTCACATGCAAATTAAGTCAAGCAACAGTGGCAAACATTAATGAAGGACATTAATAACAGATGTTTCATACCATGTGAAGTCATTTGATTATAGCCATACACCCAAATGTCCAAGCTATTAATCAACACAAATTGTCACGTGATTTTAAAAAAATATAATTCACTGCTGAAAATTAATTTAAAGTTCTTTTAAAAAAAAATAAGCGAGGGAAATCAATGCAAGATGGTTAAAAAAAATGTGATACAACCTAAACCTGAGTTTTTCCCTTTAAAAACAAGGGGTAAATTATAATATTCTAGCTGTCGTTCAAAAGTTGACATTCAGCCATCTAAACTTTGATTTATTAGCATTACACTGAGTTGTGCGTTAATTCATTTAAATATCAAACAGAAAATCCAAGCCAATTCACAATTTCATCTCAAAGTCCTCAACCCCTTCCTAATAAAGCCCAAACTCCCAAAATTCTATCCCCATCCCCAAATTTCTTCCACATCCACTTCATAATCCCTAACTCGTCTCTTCCAGTCAGACACCACAATTCCCAAAATTCTCACTCGAGCCCAAAGTACATCAAACATGCAACTTTCTATTTATCTAACTAACTTATAGTGCCTAACTCCGTCCTTTATGATATTACGATTACACAGCAACATTCTTGCTAATGGAGAAAATATCAGTTTGGAGAATATCAACTTTTAAATGAAGAGGCGGCAAAGTGAAGAAAATCAAAACCATAGGTTGTGGCATGCTAATTATTTTACATTAAAATTGTGAAAAAAATTGAGGAAACCAGTAAATCTCAACTCGTATGGCGCAAAACCAGACTGAAATGTATTTTCTTCATAGATCGCTCAAATAGGACTTAGTACTACAACAATTACAGGGATTCCATGATTCGCAGATAGAACATAATATTTGAAATTTCAATTGGTGATGAACCACACGTCTCAAATCATGAATGATCAAGTTCAAAACACCATGCTGGGTCTAATAAGGCGCTCAAACATACAAAATATTACTGGAAAACAAAAACAAATGCAAAGAATTTACATGAAGCAGAGTTAATTGCTGCAGCTTCTGGTGAAGAGGCAACTCCTGCATCTTCTTCAGCAGAAAAAGGATTTCTGAACTTCTGTTGGTGACTTGGGGAGACAATTGACAATGACTTCTGAGGTGATAAGACATCTATTTCAACAATAAATTGTTATTTGGCAAAGCAAACCTTCTCATCAAGGATACTAAGAAACAAGATAGTTTCAGTGAGTTTCAGGACTAAACCTATTCAAAGAAAAAGAACAAGTTTCATTAAAACTGATTTGCAGGTACTTATGTAGCTCACCAGCAGCAGAATCATGTAAAACCTCAGCCACAGAGAGTCGGGGAAGTGCCATTTGTGAAGAAAAACTCATCCGGGAACCTTCCAAAGGATCCCTGCTTAAAGATCTTGCTGATGAAGAACGCAATGATAATGAACTTCCGAAGCTTCTGTGCAGATTATCTTTCACCGGATTGTATGAGGAAACGGAGGATACTTCATCCCTTGAGCTGTCATATCCTTCCTCTAAAGCATCATTAATATCATTTGCTCTAACCTGTAAAGGGTGGTTTTATTTTACAAGATTTCATTGAACAAAGAAAAGAGAAAGATGTCCCACAATAAGACCTTCTGCGCCAAAGAATATACTTAATCATGGCTTAAAGTGCAACCAAAATGTGAGAAATTTATAATCTCCTGAAAAGGATTCTCAAGCCAAGACTGATTTACTTATGGGAGGGGCCAGGTTAACTCACAAGTGTAAGCATTAAACATCACAGGGAAGACCTCCAACAACCCAGAAGTAAGAGATTCAAAGTAACATTATTCCAGAGCGGAGAAAACTGGGCGGGAGATGGGTAGGAATGATTCTGGCATGAAGTTGAGAGACAGAAAGAAATGAGACCAGGCTGAGAGATATTGTCAAACTCAAGGTGTATCAACCTTGGCATCTAAACCTCCTATTTCTATTGATGACGAGAATAATTAGGGGGGGGGGGGGGAATGAATTTCCAATGGTCAATCTAGAAATTATTCTGATCCAATCTCCTAGATTCTGTTTAACCTAAAATTGTCCCAAACAGCTTAGTTGTGATACCCCTAGTTTTATGTAGCTTATCATTTTGTTAGTTTACAGAGTGTAAATTTAATATTAAATAATTGTTATAGATCTTGCACACTTTCATAAATTTTGTTATGTTTCCAATTTATTTTATCATAAAGAAACTTTTGTGCATTTTAGTAAATTTACATACCACTCCCTCCATCCCTTATTGTAAGAAACAACTACCAAAATCACACTGTTCAAAATGTTTTAGTTAAAAGTAATAAATGTGTAATATAGATAGACACATTTTTCCAATGATACCCTTGTTTGTAAATAGAGTGTATGAGAGATAATGAGCGAAAATTTATTACAGAGAGATAATAAGTAGCATATATTTAATGGAGGTAAAAGTAGAAAGATCAGTTTAAAATTTTAGACAAAGAGGATTGGTTTCTTATATTTAAGAACACCACTAAGAGAGAGATTGTTTCTTACAAAAAGAGACAAAGGGAGTAATTAAAGTCAGTAGTTTTGTGAACTATAATATTTTTGGGAGAAAAATATATTTTGATGGTTTTGTTGTTTTTTAATTTTAATCTCAGTAAAAAATTGTGGTTAGTTGTGATACCAATGTCCCTACTTTCATTTAGCTTTTGATTTTGTAAATTTCATAGCATAAATTTAATGATAAATAATTTGATATAAATCTTAAATATTTTTCATAATTTTAGTAAATTTTGAATTTATTTTATCATAAGCAACTTTAGTACACTTTAGGAAATTTATAAAAGTTATTTAAAGCCAGTAATTCTGTAAATTATAATATTTTTAGGAGAAAAATATATTTTGATGGTTTTGTTGTTTTGTAATTTTAATCTATAATACAATTTTTTTTTTTAACATTAACCCAATAAATACTGATGACACATGTCAATTGTAGCTCAAGCATCTCGTAAATATTCTGAAAGTTCAATGTCAAGGTCCTCTAAAAAGTCTGAGGAGCAATATAGCAACCATGTGGAGATTGATCACTACTTCACCAAGGAAAAGATTGCTTTACGGATATACTTTCTGTTCCATACTAGACGTCAACTAACTCAAGTAGATGATATTCATACAAAGGATGTCTGAAATTCTATTATGGCAGTGTGTTTAACAGGTTTACTTCTTTTCTACCATAGCAGAGCTGACATGTTTATGAAATTATTTAAGTTTAATGATTTTAAAGGATAGGGTGTTATAATTCAAAACTTGATTGATGAAATACCAATATACTTCACAAAAAGCATTGCATGTTCTGGCCCAAAGAAGCTTCTTCCATGCTAGTTACTTATCATTTAATTTACATTCATTTAGATGAATGTTGATTTTGTTATATCCTATTGAACCCTATCTACACCAAGTTTAAGTAGTCTCTTATTAATGACTTCCACATGTCTGAAAAGCCAATGATAAAATTATAAACTAATGGGAACTTTGAAAATAAGGGTTTCACAAAAGAGCATCAGGCTAAAACCACAGGTACGTTTAATTTACCCAATAAGTAAATAGCACCAATAGCATACCCAATCAGCATCTCCATCCATCACTTTCCAATAGATATCCATATGGACAGTGGTTGAGGGAACGAGTTCTGAAAACATGGAGATTACAAGGATACATTAATTATAACGCTTTTCAGCAGACCATGAACAATATATTATTGTAAAACTACATTAAATTGAAACAAGAATAATTAGCAAAGAAGTAATACACGTGTTAGTGAAATCTAGCCCACTTACATGAGTACAAATACAAAATCCAATTATTCTAACAAAATTCATTGTTCTCATCATCAACATTGTTGAATTTGAATAAGTACAAAAGGAGCAAAATAAGTCATTAATTTTTTGCACAATACTAAACAGCCTGCCCATGTGAAGTCAAAGCTGGATGGTAGACAGAGGTTCAGACAGTGTACATCACTGTAATTTTGGCAGGAATGATTACAGATTAAGTTTTTCATTTTAGCCAACGTTATATTTCCAAATTGTTAGCTATAATTTTGGTGAGAATGATTAAGGAAATTTGATTTTCTTTTTTTTTTTTTTTTTTGTTTCCATTTTGATTGATATAGGTTTGGACAAAGCAGGGTTGTCAACCACCATGCTTCTTCAATAGAATGATGTGAAAATTGCTGCACCCTGCTTTACTATTTCCACATGGCAACAGAATCTTCTCCAAAGTATCTGAACCATGTTCAGATTTGGCTCAATAAATGCCCACCGAGTAACACCATCAAATATTTAGGCAACTAACCATCCAGCCATTGCCCCGGCCACTAAGAACCTTTGGGTATGTTTGTGATCCTAATATAGCATGTCTTTCCCAAAAGCCCTTTTGGCATATTTGAGAATGCGCGTGACTACATCCAAATGGCTTTCTAAGATATATGCAATGAAGTGACCGTAAGATAACCCCCTTTGTCCTACATTTCGCCAGTTATCTACTAGGATTTGTCAAAGACCCCCTCTATCCTTGTAGAAGTTAGATATCAGAATCCATGAGAGTGTTAATTGACTAATAATCTAACATAATTTGATCAAGGGTCAATGTTTGCTTTCTTCATGAAATTACTTCCCCCATGCTGAATTGAGCTACCTCAATGCCCAAAAGGTATTTCAACTTGCCAAAATTCTTATCAACCGGTGGCTATTTAGACTGAGACCTCTTTCCTCATTTCCGATAATAATAGCACCCTTATAACGAACTAAAGTGCAAAGATTAACATCTTGATGCTCTTAGAATAAGGAATGATCAGCTTCATTTCTAATCATCCTAGAATGTACCTAGATTGCCCCAAACAGACCCATGGTGATTGTTTAAGCCCATCAATAAAGCAACATAGTTTACAAAGCAGACATAATCAAAGGAAAAGACAACCAAACTGACCTTCTTCCATCAGTAAACCATTGCTTTTCTGATTTACCCATACTTGTAATGGAATACGCACTTCCTGCAAAAGCACGAGTTCAACAAAATTTGATAGAGATACCAACAAAACATATTGAAAGGCTGACACTAAAAAAAAGCACACATCTTTTGTATAAACATATGGTTGTGGCATATAACATCTGCACACACATGTCATACGAATTATAGGCACTGCAGACTATAAAAAGGGGTGATGGCATGCTATATTGGTCAACAATTCCCCCAACAGCTTCAAATCAAAGGGAAGTAAAAGCAAACTTCCAGGGCTACGTAAAATGTCATTTTCCATCACAATGATGGAAGGGTCATTCCTGAGGCAGGGCTATGGAAAATGCCCAGTTCCTAAGAATAACGTTGTTTAAGACCACTTTGTTTTTAATATTTTTATAACAACAATTTCTCCCGAACCAAGCAAAAAGCCCTATCAGCATGTTGTACCACCATCTTCTTCTCTCCTGCACTAGAGGTACTTAAAGCCTATATATAGAGCATCCCAAATAGCCTAACAAAAAACAAAATAAAACTTCACCTAGAACAACCCTGACTCTGAATATAAAGAAGCGAAACACAACATGATGGCAGCACCATTAAGTCTTGCATATCTTGGACGATCAGACCCATTTATACTTCTATAATACTTAGACCGAACATTAGAAGTGCATCATATGGCTAACCCATGTACATTTCATCGTAATCCTTTATCTGCATTATTATTCTCTCAAGGAAGAAAACTCAACTCAAGTGTCTAGGTAAGGGCACTCTCTTCAGTATATTGTACCCATGGCATCAAGAGACAGGTCTAAGCTTTGATGTTGTCTAGACCTCTTAGCTGGAGTATATCACGTTAACTTGATCTGGAATGGTTCTACTGTCTCATCCACAATTAGGATAGATTGTCATTCTAGGATAAGCAATAGTTAAGTATTAAAAGAAGTACACATCCAAGAGAACAGCTAAAGTTTGAAAGGAAAAGGAAAATATACAGAAGGAGCAGCCCTAGCAAGTTCTAAGGAATGAGAGAGAAATCCTGCAAGTTCCATCAAAAAGCCTTTAAAATCTGCCATAACTTCAAAACAGGTCTCTTCTCAGCTCCTGCATCAAAAACTCTCTTCTATTCCTTGCCAACGATCTATATTCCCATTTATACAGAGAAATCACAAGACAGATCATTTTCTTCAAGAATTTTGTACGTGACTTACCAAGATGTTACTTTAACATTTTGTGACATTCATCACAAAAATATCTCAAATAGTATAAGCCATTTATAGAACCCAAGGTTTTAGACTTGACAAGTGTTTTATTGATACTATAAGAAGCAACAAATGGTACCCTCCTGAACAGAAAATCTATAAGAAACGGATAGTTTAATAATCTCAACAAAGCAAGAGAGTGTCAAACTCTCTTTAAAAAAGACAAAATGATTCCTTAGAAAAGACTGAGCAAATAACCAAAGAGAGGTCACATAATCGCTCCTCAACTAATTTATGTTTATAGGCATTAATCTCAAAATATAAGAAACGAAGACACAATATGTTCAAGTTGGAAATGAACTACAAGTCCTTAATATGAAAATAAAATTTTTTAAATACATTTTATCATAAATTAGCGCAAGTTATTGAAAACCAACCATATTAGTAACATCTTGTACAGACTCTGCAAATGATTGCCCATTTTCCATCACTAGCCACTCTCCCATTAATGCACTTCTAACATAGTAAAAATAGCGAACAGTTGAACCCTTGTAAGATGGTGGAATAATGCTAGGCAGAAGCATTCGCACAACATCTGCAAATAATGATAGACTACATAGTCAAATCTGTATTTATACAAATAGATAAAATACAAGTATGACAAGTTAACATGTAACACAATGAATGATGACCAAACTAATACATACAGGAAATTTGAAAGAAAACCATTTAAACTAGAAATGGCAAACAGTTGTAGAAAACTTTCAAGCTGGTTTTATTTAGACTGGTGTTCTCGGAATACAACCCCTAAATGGATAGACGATATAATTTACTTCTATGATCAATAACTTATGTCCCCTGGACGCGGCCACTCATATAGACAAAGATAATCAAGCAGTAAGCTATACATCTATAATTGAGCAAAGCAAGAGGAAGTAATGAATGGCCAAGTCAACAATTCAAAAGGTGCACATGCATGATGACCCAAGTGAAATAAATCTCATGGATATTGAAGAGCACTTTTAATGAGATTACTAGCATTCAGGAAGTTTCACTTCTTCCCTTCATTTGCCGTAATGCTTAGCTTGTGTTTTTACTTCAAGTGGAGCATACTCAGTATCAACTGCTCATGCTTTGCACTACCGAATTGCAGTGATCTACAAACACATTTTTCCCTTGATATTTTTATTTTCCTAACACCAGCGCATCACACCTAGTCAAACTTCAACTCCATAAGGCACTCACTTCCATTTTGGCATAATGAATAAAATATTTTCCAACTCTGACAAGTGACCATAGGTACTTCTTTTATTCTCCTACTGGCCTAACTTCAGTTTCCGTTATTTTGACATAATTAAATGAAACTCCTCGGGTGTCAATAGTTACACTTCCCCTTTAGATATGAAAAAGGAACAAATGTCACTAAAATAAATCCAGAGACCTCTGTAGTTGAAATGTCATATTAGAATGCTCAGCCACCACAAGCAGCATGTAAAACTCTAACATCTTTGCTTTTGGTTTTTCTTTTTGTTTTGGTGATTCAAACCGTTATCAAGTGTTCATAGACAGAGCATTTTAACTATAAAAGTTTTATTGTTTAATGCCAATTATTAAAGTCATCGTACAAATATATGGAATTAAGAATTGTGCAGCTATTCCCTCAGAAATACAATGAGTATCATGTACTTAGGAAGGGGGCCAGGTTATCCCAAACAGGGGAAGCCGCATCCCCTAAACTTTACTTCCTTTGTAACATTAGACGTAGATCAGATGAGTTTTTGAAAAATTTGTAACGTTGCCCCCGGTAAAAACTTTATTCTTACCTTCCACGCCCCTTGTCAATATTTTCTAGTGCCAGTCTCTGCAAGTGCTATACAACAATTTTTTTTTGTTGAAAACTATAAAACAATTTTTTGTTGTCTCTATGAGTTAGCAGAAGGGACAATCTAGGAACCGCGCGCGCGCGCGCACATATGTGTATATATAAACTATAACAAACTGCAGTACTCACAAGCCTAGTTTAGATGAAATGGCCGTTGTAACATCCCCAGAAAAAAGTACAATGACTAACGAGGAAATTCCCGACGCAGGCCCGTTAACTTAGCTAAAACGAATTATTCGAATTCGCAAATTTCAGAACCATGCTAATCCCCTAAGCAAATGCAAGAACTCAACAGATAGGCGGGATTCTTTAATACATAGAATTAGACATACATGATTTGCTGGTGCCAGCAGAAACGATCTGATTTGCAACCATGGCAGTCGTTGAGCCGTCCATGAAAACATATTCCCCTGAGCACAAAAATTGACATAATAGTACCAATGCTTGTGGGTTGCTAGGAGGTTAAGCAAACAACAATTGACCAACAATAAGAACAAGTTCATCAAACGAACCTCTCTTTTGCTTTGAACCTGGCAACGGTTTCTGCGTGGCAAACCATTGAACATCCAATTTCTCAATCCCTTTAATCTCAAAACTCAGTCTTTCAACTAAAAATGAATACGAAGTAGATGGATTGGAGATCTCGACGGTGACCACAACTGGATCACCAGGACGATATACTTCTTTATCTGCTTCAAGTTTCAATGTAGGAAGGAGTTTGACCTTCGGAGAATGATCTTCCCCACCCGAATCGCGACCGCCTAAAAAGGAAAATCTACTCGATAGCATTGCTCTCGGGTGAAATTCTTGTTCTTTCAATTCTATTACTCCTTCGATATTCTTCAGCAAATAGCCTGACCCTGCAAGATCAGATCTTCCTGATCTTCTCGTACGGAATCAGATCTACGACATGGAACGCAAGTGCATTAATGAAAAAACAGTGGAGGAGGAAATTCGTTTTTTTTTTTTTAAATTTGTGTTTTTTCTATTTTAAATTCAAATTTATCACACTGAAAGTGAAGTCAGAAATGTGAGAGGTGTCTACACACACACACGTGTGTGTGAGTGTGCGCTACATGAGATTGATCCAAATTCCAAAATTCCAATGAAATAATCATAAAAAATAAATGGAGAAAACATTATTTTTCTACTAAAATCCACACACACTACGGTGTTCTTAAAATTGTTTGCATAAATGTAAAAATTAAAAGAAAATTTATTATAAAATTTTTGAGTATTTACTTATAACAAAAATTTAAGGTATTAGATATATACTAAGGTATTAAGAACTGGACCTGCTTCTAAACCGGTCGAAACAATAAAACAAAAGTTAGTAAATTAGATCAGAGTCAAACCAATGATAAATAAAAAAATAAAAATTAATTTAAATTCTCATTATGCCATTCAAAAGACTAAATATCAATTTAATACTTTGAATTTCTAACAAAATAATTATATACTTATATTTTCCTTTCATTTTTCTGCAATTCCCTTGACAAATTGACATTATAATATCATATTATTAAAATAACTAAATACTTATTCAAGCAAAATATCAAAATAGATTTATGACAACAAAATATTCCGATCTACAATCATTTAGTCCTTAATTAATAATTTTTTAGCATTAAAATAATTCAAAACAAACAAACAAATATAACCGGGTTAACCCACCAAACCGATTGGGTTAACCAATTTTCTCCCGAGTTGACTAGGTCAACCAGCCTACTAGATTTTCAGGTGATCGGTGTTTGGTTCAACTCGGCTGGTTTGTTCTTGTTTTCAATACTATGATATATACATGTGTGTGTGTGTGTAGGGCTATGTAAAAATACTCAAAACCCAGTCTGTCCGGTCCAATTCTACACAATCCTGTCCAATCTGGTCTTGAAAAAAATAACCCAATAAAAAGACTAGACCAATCAAGTCAAACTAAACTATAGGATGAAACTAGGCTAATGAGTAATAGTTCAAACCATGTGGTCTGATCCATTTCAGGCAGGATTTTTTTTTTTTTCAAAAAAAGCATGTGTACTTGGTTGTGTGTTTGGCTTCGTCCTTTTCATGCTTGTTCCTTTTTCTCCCACACAGGCACTGCTCATCCCTCTCTACCGTCAGTTTCTACCTCAGCTTGCCATCAAATAACATTTTCAATTCACATCTTTTGCTGGCCCCTCCTACCAATTCGTGTCTTCCTTTGCCATGGTCTTCAAATTCGCATGAGCATCTTCTAGTTCATGTTTGTTGTTTGGCCGTTTTTGCTTCGACTTCTTCTTCCGTTGCCATAGGCTCTGTTTGGCAGAGTTTAAAATCAGCTTATGATCAGCTTAAATTTTAAAATAAGCTGGGTTGCAAATGGGACCTGTTTGGCAGAGCTTAAAAACAAATTGTGCTTATGTTAAAAAAGCCTATTTGAACGCCCAATTCCCATAAGCTGCAAGAAAGAGCTTATCACTTAATCCAAAAGAGCTTTTGGGCGGGGAAAAAAAAATCAGAAGACCTGTTGCCCGTTCTGCGATGTTAGGTCCTTTTTTCCTCTCCCATTTGCCTTTTCCTCTCACAAGCATCATTTTCATTTCTTTTTCGCCGAGGAGTCGCACGCCTCTCCGCATGTGCCATTTGGGTCAATTAATTACGTTGCAGTTTAATGCTATAAAAATTTCTTTGTAAGTGGAAAATTGCGAGTTGCTTTCAGCTCGTAATTTCAAATGATTCATATTAGTTCCTCTAATTTTTTCAAAAAAATTCCTTATATATTATCTCAATTCTTTCTTTTTTCATGTTTCACTTTATATTTCAAATATTTTTTGATTTTTTAAAAATTTTAAAATTTAATCCACTCATTAAATTTTATTTCTTCATATTATTTTATTTTAATTTTATTGTATTGTCTTAAATTAATTTTTCATCATGTTTCATTATTTATTAAAACCCATGCCCATTTTAGTAATTTTTCAATCAAATTTACTTTTATTCAACTATAATCCAAACAAGCTTTTACTAATCTTATTTTTGTAAACTAACTTTTCTGAACTCCAATTCAAACACAATTCAGCTTATCCAATTTAACTTTTACCAACTTCACTTTTCCATAAGCTATTTTTTCTATAAGATACTTTTCCAATCGCTGATCCAAACGAGCACATAATCTTTGCGTTTATTCATGCCAGGGTGGCTATTATTCTATGGTCACTTTCCTATTTCTTTTCAATTTTTCTTATATATTTCAGTTTTTTTCTTCAATGTGGGTCAACTTTTTTAGGCTTCCGGCATGTATTAATTTTGCAGTAAAAAATACGTTTTTACTCCTCCGGTCCTTAATATAGGACTTAATTCTTGAATTGGTTTTGGTCCTAAATATAACACTCATTTATCATATTTATCAATTTTCTCTAAATTACCCCTATGGAGACTCCCTCAACTATAATCAAGTAAAAGAGGGAGATGAGGTATTAAGAAAGGTGATTACGGTGTTTTAGAAAAAATGTATCACTTTTCTTATAATTAACTAACTTACCTAACTTCCTTAATCTAATCAAATTAGTTAAATGAGTCTTATATTAAGGATTAGAAGAGTAATATATATATATATATAAAAGTAAAAAAGCAACTTAGATAAGTCTAGTAACCTGGTTGACTAAGTCCAACCCTGTCTAGATCTCTCTAATCAAACTGAACCAATCTTCGGAACAAAATTTTTAATCAATCATGTTTTAGACCAAACTTCAAGCTAGGTTATAGTCCCATTCAACCCGGCCTTTATGCAGCCTTATGTGTGTAAGTATCATTTTCATCACTTTCAAACGAAAACATATAGCGATTGGATGATTAGATTTTTCTTAAAAGAGCCTCCTCGAATAGGATGAGATTTTTTAAATAAAATTTTATAATAGATGGAATAAATATGTGAAAAAAATTTTATCTTAACATATTTCAAATTCTTTTATAAAGCTAATCCGAACACTTATGATCCCATGTTTTGCAAAATTGCTGAATTCTCTAACATTAAGATACTACATCATAATAGCGTGTTCTATTGAAAGCGCTAAGTCGATTTGCCTATGATATTTATATATTTTAATGCAAAATTTTCTGTATTAGATCAAAAAGATTTTGTATGGTCAATGATCCTATGATTAGGTTGAATTTACACGTACAGCATTAAAAAGAATTGAGTATCTTTGAAAAAAAAAGATTTCTTGTCGGATCTTGTCGTTTGAGTCAGGTCGGATAAGTTTTTTTTTTTTTAATTTAATTATTTGTTTTTCTTAATTTTGTACTCCTTTTTACTGTCCAACAACATTCTTCCTAGTGACTAAAGAAGAAGTTGAAATTCTTCCCGGGAATCTTTTGAGCTTTAATTGGACATGTGAATGCCAGAAATTTTTCTTAGTTGATTTTGGAATTATATTTTTTAATGTAATAATAATAATCGTGGAATACAAAAATAGTCGTCAGAATCACTTGAAAGGGTGTGGAGAGTAATTAACCAGCGACAACGCAACAATAAATGGTACGGTCAAAAACATACTCCCTCCGTTCCTTATTATAAGAGACATTTGATGCTTATGGCATGTTCCTATATATAAGAGACACTTACAAATTGTCTCCACCTTTTTGTGTTAATTTACTATTTTACCCATATTTATTATCTCCAACTCACACTCTCTTTCCCTCCCACTTCTCTTTCTTTTAATAATTTAATTGTTCTCTCTCATGCTCTCTCTCCTTATTAATGAGGGCATTTTTGAAAAAAAATTATACTTTTTACACATTAATTGTTCTTAACTAATTTTAACTGTTTTTTTGATCAACGTATTTCGGTTATTTGTCTCTTATAATAAGGAACGGAGGGAGTACCATTTAAACTGTTTCTAGAACTGATTCAGACAAGTCATGTTTACCATATTTGAACCGTAGGTTATTCCAACTTAATCAATGGTCTCGAATTTTGGATATGTGGTCACGATAATTTTTTTTTTTTGGCTATGTATAATTAATCTTATTTAAAGTATTGTCAAATACTAAATATGAATAATTCTTTTAATAGGAATTCGAATTTAGTTTACCAAATTATAGTATTGTTAAACTCAACCCCATTATAACCGCGATAATTACACTCGATGGTACCAAGATTCTTCATATTGTGGGCCGACGTTGTCACAAACCGAACTACCCAGTCAGCTACTGTTAGTGCCGGACATCCGTTGAGAAACTCAGAAAGTAAACTTTTTTTAGCTAGTATGTTCTTATTTCACAAGATTTTTTTTTTTAAATAACCTCTCTCATGTTAAAACTACACTTCTATTCCTCCCATACTTAATATAGAACTTAAATTGTTGAATTGATATTGTTTTTTTTTCTAAATTACTACTATTAATTCTCTCTCAGTCATAATCAAATAGAAGAAGGAATGAGAATATTAAGGAAGATGATTATAGTGTTTAAAAAAAAAGTATGTCATATTTCTTATAATCAACCAACTTACCTAACTTCTTTAATCTAATCAAATTAATTAAATATGTCTTACATTAAAAAATGAAAGAGTATTTACTAAATTTACTTTTCAATTTGGCAAAAAAGTAACATAGTTTTGGGTCTTAAAATTGTGATCAACTTTAGTCAATTTTTACGTACTACTACTTTAGGTCCTAAACATAAGAGCTAACTAATTATTCTAGCTTTTATATTTAAAACTAGAGTAAGATAACTTTTATATTTAGAACAGAAGTAGGTAATATTACCAATCATTATGCCGCATCAGTTACCCGTCATACGTTTAGCCAAAGTCATATTATGCATCTCATTTTAAACTTTCATTTTATTACCTTTTTGCTGT